ACCAACACACCTATGCCAGCGGACACACGGTTAAACCCCCTAACCTTCCGACCATGTGGGGTTCTGTGCAATTAAGGCCGGGTCTCACAGGGGTTAGCCGCAAATGGCCAGATATAAGTTAAAATGACCATGTATAGTACGATCTTCGGCTCAACGTTGGCAAAATGCTACAGCATTCCCGACGGCGAAGCTTTACCAGCGGACCCGCGGCCACACTTTGCACGACACAAATATTCATAAAATTGTTCCTGGATTATTTTTTCACCTTAAATAGCCTTCATTTTGGTTGTTCTAGCCAGCCGGAATAGCCAGAGATCGAGTTGATAAATAATTTGAAACTACATTATGGAATTAACCAATTGTCTATTGCACAGGTTTTACTGTATATTCTCTGGCTAGCCGATTCAGCCGGAACCGTATTTCGGCAAGCCGGAGTAGCCGGAACAGCCGGACGAAACAAAATTTTGTTCCGGCTGCTCCAACTGTCTGGCTAACTTCACGAACATAACTTAACACTGCGGAAATTGAGTTATGGCCACTTTAATGAACCGAAGCTAGGGTGTATGAGGGCCCTTTTTCAGAAATGAGTAACCTTTAAATAATATGCAATAACATTCTAATGAAAAACGTTTTCCCATTAATTTTTGGTAAGAAACAAATGCATTGTAGTACTATTTAGCTCACAATCAACATACACAAAATGATGGTTTATATTTAAAATTGATAAATTATGTATAAAAATGTTGCCCTACCCCATCCATTTTTAACACATGTTTGACTATTTTCCTACTAAGGGAGCCTAATTTAAAGAAAAACTTAAAATTTATCCAAATGAGTGCCTGATTTTTTAGAAAAGTATATTGGTTGATCTTGTAAAATATTAAATACTTTTACTGTCTAGTTTTGATTTCATTACACTTTGAAAATATATGGTACGATATTCATTACTAGATTTAGCATTATTTAGCCAATAAATACCTATATAAATTAAATATTAAAAATAAACACTATTTTCTACCCAAAATGGATGGAGAGATACATATTAATAATGTTAAAAGAAAAAAAACGAAAAAAAGAAAAGTTAACCCACCTGAGGTTTGAACCCATGGCCCCCAGTTTCGATGAAGTTAACAGTAGTTCTAGCCTATTTGAATACTCTTCAAAGCGGAGGTAAGGCATTAGGATGGTTATAACTTAAAGTCAATTTTGAATCATTTTATTCTTTCGTTCATCCGGAAATCATTAAACAGATTGACCTACCGATATAAGGACAGGCTCACCCCTATATATCCCGCTTACCTTTGTGGGGTATAATTACAAACAATACAGTTTTTTTGCCAGACTTGGTCTTGAGACAAAAAACAAAAAACAACAACAACAATGAAAGTCTGATAAACATTTGTCTTCCTCCACCTGTAAAGCTCGAACGTCGTCGGCGCTGTAAGGTCATTATAATGTCGGCGTGACTCAATATCAAACAATACAAAAAACAAACGTGAGAACACGTTGGCATTACCATGTCCTGTTTGTATTTCTTAAGAAATATGAGGTTTCGGCTGAATGTTTTTACCCGACATTCAGAAAGTTCTTATCATGTGATGCTACATATTCATGAATATAGGTCCGCGTGTGACAAACCGTTTGAACATACACAAATGTACATGTATTGACAATGGCAATTTTGGGAGGTGTCAATGAGGGTCCAGATATGATTGATAGCCAAAGCTAGATAATATCAAATTTGAATTGTTTAAAAACTATAACTATATACATGCAAAAAGATAATTTTTTCAAATATACGACAAAACTCGCCCTATATTACCCCGATAACCTTTGTTATAACTAACAAATGTGTCAATGTGTCGGAGATATCATTGATAGCAGCTTGATAACATCAATTGTGTAACTATATACATGCAAAAAGACTATTGCTTTTAAATATATACTGATATAGATATATAATATAACAAGAACCACCAACGGGCTGGGATAACGCAATTTAAAAAAGGTCTTGTCTAGTTACACTCATTGTTTTGTCCATATGAATTATTCCCATTAATAAAACAAAGTTAAGAAAAATATCAGCAGAGTTCATTGGACAATCAAGATTATGTGGAGATTAATGTCATAACTATATTTTATTCAAAAATGTTTGTTTGGTCAAAAGTGTTGTTTTGCCCATAAAATAAATCAAAACAAAACATATATAGAACAATAATGATAACAATAATAAATTAAATAATTTGACCTTCAGTGTCAGTTCAACCTTTAGAAGGTCTTGTCCAAAAATGTTGTTTTATTAAAGTATGAAGATAATCCATCTATTAACTACCAAGTTAGAGTCAATTATAGCAAAAATCAATTAAAATTCAATAAATTAGTCTTCAAAGTCAAAAAACAAAGCCAAGGTCGACTAGTTGATATATATGAAGGTCTAATCCTAAAGAATGTTGTGTTATAATTATAATTATAGTTAGTAACAACAAAAAAAAATAATGAAGTTTCAATAAATTGGCTTTCAAGGTCAAGGTCATTCTAGGGATTTTTAGGTCAAGGTTTGTTTGGTTTATCATTAAGGTCCATCCTCAAATATTATTATGCTGAAGTTTGAAGACAATCATTTAAACATAAGAAAGTTATAGCCGCTAATAGCAAAAATCAGCAAAACACACAAGCAAAATTAAGACATCTGACATGAAGGTTTCAATGTCCAATTTATTAAAACTGAAGGTCAAGGGTTAGTCTGGTCTACTTGAAGTTCAACCAATGGTTTTTTGTGGCCAAGTATGAAGGCAATACCACCAAGAACTTAAAAAAAGTTAAATGAACCAAGGTTAAAAAGTTTGCGGACGGCAACGCCGGAGTTGAACTGTAACTACCCTCTAACTTTTTTTCAATAGCAATGTAGAATGAGGGACGGTCCCATGTACTTTCGACGAACTCGTCATTTTGACCACAGAACGCCAATTTTTGAAGTTTTTGAGTAAATAAATTAAATACACGTTATTCCCCATAGAAAAAGGGGGGGGGTTGATCCTAATTAACATAAATGATGTTGTAATAAATCCCGTGTTAAATTTTACAAAGTATCATACTAGGGTATATAAACAATTTGTTGAACAGGGATTATTTGATTAAAATTTTGGCAGAGACGGAGGTAGTTTTTGATGTCATAAGAAAAGAAGCGGTATAACGTATAGGAATGGTTTTTACAAAGGTATTTTTTCGGTTGATTTGTTTTCCACGTTTCCCCCCTGTTTAGGTAAGAAGTAAAAAAGTTACACAATTCTTGTTATTGTTTTTAAAGATTTAAAAATTTAATGTTATCTAAATGTTGACTTAAAGATTTATTTTATCATGCTTTATTTTTAAGTTTTTTGAGGTAAATGTCTACATGAGAGAACGTACAAGATCACTAAATAGTTTTGTATATATCGGTAAAAACTTGGAATCTTTTTTGGAAATGTGAAATAAATTTATTTAAACAGATATTGGAGCCACCAGAATACTTCCAACCTTTTTATATTTCGTATAAAAATAAAAAAACCTAAATTGAAAAATTAACTTTTATGTCATAATTAAGAAGGGGCTAGTAAAAAGTCAAACAATATAAACAGTTCAAAAAGGAGCGACGTAGATGCGACTGTAGCCTAATGGGAAATTATAGTATTTCTAAAATTACAAAATTTAAACTAGCGTATCTAGAAACGTCTTATTCTCAAGATAAAATATTACCTTGATTGAAACAAATTGATAATTGATAAAATAATACTACTTTTTTATTACCCTGCATTTGAAAGTGATTTCTTTGCTCTTTTTGAACTGTTTAAAACTATCAATTGCAAGGACTAAATCCGAAACATTCCAAATTATCTGTTAACTGAAAAATTATTTAGTTATACAGATACTTTTATTTTATGCTTTACAGTGGATTACTGATTAATCCGTGAAAGTCAGATTTGATAATTTCACAAAAATATAATTTCACACTTTTCAATGACGAAACTTCTTTTTTAAAAATGTTTCCCCATGTGGTACCTTAATTTTATTTTTGCTTACAATTCTGACATTGTAAGTACTGTTCAGAGAAATGCAAAGCTAAACTTGATAAATAAACTTGAATTTCAAAAGTAATAAGATGAAGAAAATTCACTTTAATTTATTTAAATATCAATCTCCAAATATCATCTCTTAATTTTTTGTTTCATTTTCACAGTATGAAAAATACAATTCCTTCCACATGCAAAACTACTCTTGATGACATTTTGGCATGTTTAAAGTATCCTACGAGCAATACCTGCCTAATGCAATATGAAAACTTGAAAAGCAATGGCAGCCAACAGCCGAAGAATAAGTTAAACAACACAGCGTTCGTAAGGCAGCCTTTCAAGATTCCATGTTTTCCAATTTCCTAGTCGCTTTTTTAATGTTTGCACATCTGTTAACACTTATTTATTGTCTGTAACAATCCTCAAATATGTTTTCTTTCTTATAAAAGGATGTATGACTAACAAATCCAAACGATATCCCTACATCAAACACAATTATTTTCTTCCCTTGAATTACACAACTTTTAAAAATGGCGGCCGCTTCATTTCCCAAAGACAGATCTAATATAAATTCGCAGTATGTAACGGAAATGAGGTTTGATGGTGTGACCTTTTCTGCTACTAGAATTGTTGTTTTTATTATTAAAACAAGCGGTCATTCATATTTTTCTAATAAAATGAATAATATCACTGCCATTTAACTTTGATTGTCGAATTTATTTTCAGCCCAAGACTTCTTGTATTTTATGACAAATTCGACTAATAGGGGCTACCAGTGGGGAAAACAGATTTTTTATATTAAAGTTAATATTAAAGAATACTGTTTTTAAAGCCCACTCGATGAAATCAAATTTCATCTTACACACAAACAAATACCCTCTATATCTGATGACACCATATTTTTATAGATAAATGATTTTTGATGAAGATGCTTGGGAATATATTTGCAAGTTGTGGAAGGTTGTGGGCGTTTGAAGTGTTATCAGTGTAACTCTCAGGATTCCCCAACTACGTGTGGAGAGAAAAACTTTAATGCTGATGCCCACAAGGATACTACAGTCAGCGGAAGCACCATAATTATTTCTCCACATAATGGTGGAACCAGTTGTATACGTGGCTATGCTGTCAACGACAAGGGAATATGTAAGCAGCTTACAATGTACTATTATGATGCTTCTGATTTCTCTTTCTTTCTCTTTGATAAACGAATTTTAATGTGTACTAAGTGATTATTTTTTGTTTTGAAAAAAGTTTTTTTTCCGTCATATGTATAAGTAAATGCATTGTAAAGATTACGATGCATAAAATAAAAATCGGGATTTTACAGACAGTTTTAAAAGTTTATAAAGATCTTTTTTTTTCTGATGCTCTAGGTAAACCGACCAAAGCAGCAAATGTGTGAGTTTCCACCAGTTTATCCCTATTGAAGACGGGCGACATTGTTAAAATTAAAATTAAGTTTTTTGTTTTAATTAAAAAAATATTGAGCTGCTGATCTTCTTACATAAACCTTTCTAGCTTCTATTTTTGGAAAGTGATATTAAGATGAAAATAAGTAAATGGTATAGATTTATCCTGGTGGCAGGACTAAGCGCTTTGGGTTTCAGCAGCATGCGAGCGTTTTGTCCTGTTCTTCACTTTTGTATCATATTTTTTGGTCGTTTGAGATCATAGATTCCAACACATTCATTTGTAGATTGACCTGTAAAAGGGGGCGGGAAAGTTATTGCACGTTAACACTGTCACTCATAAATTGACCCAATCAAACCGAGTCTTCAAAGTTCATATAATCTTTTTGAATGCTTCCCGTGGGAACTTCCCATTTCTAGATTTTATTTTCATTTGATGAAGAGCAACAAACATTCCGGGCAATGGAGATCACATGAAAGGAATGAATATATTTGGTGACAGGCAAAGATTTATAGAGTCTCTTTGTGAATGGAAGTGGTGTGGTGTAACATACCTTGCGCTTCTCCCTCGTCATTACCGTATTCAATCTTTAACGCCCCAGTGTTACCTGTAAGAAAAAAATCACAATACTTCAAGATAAAACACAGGACAACGTTTACAGCTTCTAATACTTAAAACCTACTTTTGTAAGGGTAGAAATTCTGTAAATGATTAGATCCATCAGACAAACGAATAAAAATAAGAACCCAAATAAAAAATCAGATCAACGATTTGCAGTCATTGCCGAGGAAATTTATAGGGGCAGTTGATAGGCTTATTACTTCAGTAAATGAAATTTGGCGATACACTGTATTTTTTATTCATCTTTAATTTCAGACTATTATCGTGACAAATCAAACGAGGCGCTTTGGGATGGATGCAAGACTCCACAAATGTGTGCTTGCAGTGAAGATCTCTGTAACTCTAAAGGGTCAAGGGGGATCTATGTGACCTCAACCCTTCTCTTCTGTTACTTGACAACGGTTGTTGTAAAGAGGATAACGTTTTGATATTTGTTGATACCGGTTTGTATATGAAGGGACTAACATTTTTTTAAATCATTGTTATACTTGAAACATTTTTTAGACTTTTAATGTTAAACATATATGTCATGTATTTTTTGAAACATAAGGGTGTGGTACCGCAAACGCTTTTATTAGTGGCGCGCGCGGGATTTCTTATTTTTTAAACTTTTACAAACATTATTTACTTTTTCAATATTAGTGAATATGAATGTGTGGAAGATAGCGTTTGGAGTGCTCTTGTAAACAATTAGTTATTAGAACTACTAATGGATTAAGACCAGAATCGGCATAATGTTTTTTTACTCGTTGTCTCCTTTCTAGAACAAACAATGGAAACAGTAAAAAAATGCACGTGAGGCTTATTCCATACTCAATTCTTTAGGTTTCGTACTCACCATTTCAATTTGATCATTTGCTGACACTCTTTTTCTGTTAAATATGTTCGCCTCACGAAAAAGAAACGAAGAGCTCTGTTAACGTACAGTTTTTGCATTTATTTTGGTTTTATAGGGACTTCACTGAGGTTTTTTTGACATTACGTGACTAGGATTTTTTTTTAGATGAATGTTCCATTTGATATAGGTCTTAACCAATAATTTGAGTGCAAACGTGTAGCAGAAAAACACGTTTATTTCTTACTTATCTTTTGTAGATCTTTCCGTTTTAAATTCGCCTTGTGATCTATGTAGGACATTAAAATTTCATGATTTAGGCTCTTCGGCCTCAATGAAGTCCCTTTTACAAAAGAGAATGTCACTACAGTGCAATTAGGGATTGGAATTTATTACCAGATGCAAGTAAGAAAATAGATTAAGAAACATTAACAATGTGAATTCAAAATGGCTGTTAAACATGGCCAAAATATAATATCGTCGCCCTAATTCCAGAGTGTCGTAACTCCAATTTTGAAAAAAATGAGTGTTTGGTATCAAAATGTTCGTAATTTTTTGCTCTATCTAATGGTAAGAACAACATCACTCTGGTTCATGCCTGTAACAATATATTGAATGGATCAGAGTGCTGTAAGTCCAAAAATTGTGATAAAAATACAGTCCATAATATCGTAACTTCTGAACCAATAGTTTGTTGAGATTCTAGTCACGTGATGCTGTATTGACAAAATGGCAGATTTTTCAAGGTATCGGGAATGACATTTTACGTTTTATATTTCTTGATAACATGTAAGTGTTTTGCTTTTGATGTTATCTAATTATCTATAGCTTAATATTTTAATGAACTGTTTCAAACCTTAAAAATAAATAATAACTACTCTTTACACTTTAGCTAAATTCAAAGCACCATGCTGTGTTATGAAATTCGGATAGCATGGAAATCGGATAAAATGATACAAACTTTCAATATTCACAAGTATCAGCTGTTCATAACTTGATATGTGAATGATTATATGATTGATTGATCAATGCTAACTTGTACATATTCAGATTAAATACGTACAATTAGGTTTTGCATTAGATTGTTTATACTTTTAACTTACAAACAAAACTTATCAAATGGGAAACATACTACTGCCATTGTTACATTTTGTCTTTAACTATATAAGACAAATTACCGTACTGGTGCTAAGTGATTCTAATAAAATTTACACATATAACTTAACAACTCATAACTGATGTTAAATTAGGTGGTGTTTACTTCATGATTATTTCATAACTCATAATTTCATTATTTTCATAATTTCAAAATAATGCACTTTCATATAACGATCACAAAAATATGAAAAGTTTTGCTGTCCAAGGCATTATGAAATCTAGACTGGTTAACAATACCCACTATCATATAGAAAGAAAGACAAAACACTTTTAAAATGTTCAGTCCTACATCACTCGTTTGTGTTCTTAAAACAGTACATCCAAACGTCAAAGGCTATATGGTGGGTTAAAGTTGACAATATCCCTATAAAAAAAGTTTAAAAGCTGAGAGGTGTCTCAGATGCACCATTTAGCGTTGAATAAGAGACGTCATTTGCACAACAAATACTTATTAAACAAAATGCCACCTTCTCAGCTATTTTGCATAACATCAACAGGGTGTCAGTCTATACCTTTTTGTCAACATAATCATGTTCAATCTTATGCTGAAATTTATTATGTAATTGGAACATGCAAAGCAAAATTAATCTAAGTTAAAAATAATTATTGTACATCTACTTCCAACTCGTAAGGTAATACTACCTGTAATTATCAAGTGATTTGAACCATTGAACTGAAAATTATCAATTACGAAAACTATTTTTTAAAAAGAAAAAAATGTGTGGTTAAAAATTTTCATTCGATTGAAACGTAAAAAAGAATGATTTTGTGAAGAAATGTTACAAAGTCTTAAGACCATATAAAACATTAAGAACTCTTTAAATTGTCATATTTGTTTCATCAAACGTTTGTTGAGGTAAAATAGAATTAATATTTGTCTGAAACTCTTAGATATTGAGCATTGTTTTTATACGAATGAGTTATTGATGTTAACAGTTCAGATAAAAACATTAAATGCAAACGTATAATTAATTGTTATTGTATGTAAAGAAGTTGTATGCCACTTTATATATAAAAATACATGTAGTAATTGAAGCACAGTAGTTCATTGAAACACCGTATCCAGATCTGTAGCATCTTTGAACATTTGTGAGCTTTGAGTTGTGTCTCATATTTTTCATTTTTTTTAAAACAAAACATCAAGTAATGCTGTTCTTAGAAAAGTAAAATACATAGGAGTATTCTTTTTTATGTTACAGAGAAAGGAACTCATTGTTGATGTTGTTTTTCAAAGCTTAAGCAGTTACATCTTTCAAACATTTTTGTGTGTTTTGTAAGTCAAATTATGTTCAACATGCTGTTTGTCTGCAAGCTACAGGTATTCAGAATTGAATTTGGAATGAATTAATGATATAATAAACGAAACCAAAAGTAAATCTGAATTCCAAATATTTTATATTGTACAGTCTTATTGTAAAAATAGCATATCATATGATAAAAAGTTTGCTATTTTATGTGGTAAATATCAATACAAGGACGATGTTTCTAAATTTTGTTTTCGTTTTGTTTACCTCAATGTGATACATTTACAAAATCAGTAACATCTTATTTTTTTTGTTCATTTGCAAGGCTCACTATTTCATGTAAATGGTTATAAGATAATGAAGCCCGAGATCTATTTCAACCTTAAATTGCCTGTTCGTGGCTATTCACACTTCGCCGCATTGTTTGGATTTCTATTATTGACTTTTAAGACTAAATTTACTGTTTTGATCCTGATCACATTCCATGCTCTGTGGTGCCTAAATAAATGTGGATTCAGACTATTCGTTAAAGAATTCAATTTCTAGTTACCTCTAAATTTAATATAATTTCAGTATAAAACAGTTCAAAAGTCGTTATTTCACACTGTTGTAACTCCTAAATGTAATGATATTTTAGGGTCACATTGCTGTAACTGAATACAGCATTCTGGTTCTTGTATTTTTGTCAATAAAATTTATTTTTCAGTGATTTTTCATTTTTTTTATTTTGATTTTCAAAAAAACTATCTACAGGAACTTCTTCATAATTAAAAGTGTAAAAGTTAAAATAATTCTGCATACTATGATATATTTTATATTAAAATTGGTTGAGTTAGTGTGAAGATATAGCCTGTTAAAACTTTGAAGTCGATTTTCTCAAAATGGTAAAATACGACTTACATCATTATGGAATTAGGGCGACGATATGTATTCATTGACGTGATAACTCGTACTAGTATATACATATACTATATGTATCTAGAGCATTGTAAAAACTTTGTTAATATCTTTTTTTTAATCATTGGTATATTTTGATATATTGGCATCTACAATTATGTAATTAAAAATCAATGAACCAAATTAGAAGTAAGCTTTTATGGGCTTGTTTTTTTGCATTCCTAAGTTTAACTTTTTTAACTGTATTCCAAGTAGGAAATTAATATTCATCTACATGTAAGTGTATGTACATTATGTTTCTCGAGTCAGTGCAAATTGTACATTGTGCAGTTGTAAATTGTGTCTTTAACATATAATTATCTTCTGAATTTCTGTGTATTTTAATGGAGGCGTCACACTCTCCCGAAATTGACACCAGACGGGCAAACGAATAAGGCTTTTCGAAGTTCGCACGAAGATGGCATCGAAATTGGTCAACAGCCAATCAACAACCGAAGCAAGTACGATTTTTACAGAAGATCACGCGATTGCATCTGATCCCTAACGATTGCTACCAAAGGTCACGCGATGGCATCCGATCCACACACGAAGTCATCTCAAAGATGCAATTTTCCAAGTAGTTTACCCGCAGGACACGCGAAAGCCACGCGATGGGAACACGACGTCGTATTGTAAGTACTATGCGTTCAAACGTGGTCACAAAGGCGTCACGAGACCTCCTTGTGGTATAAAACCTTCGGCCAACCGCGGCAAAATTTCAGGACAAAAAAAGCTGTAATGAGGACCGACCTGAGTCTACTACCATGGAGATGAGCGTTACCGGAACATCCCATGATCTTCAAGATAGGCTGGTTTAGTTTATCACTCGAAAACAGCAAGTTAGCAGAGCCACTTCTTCCTGCAATAATGCAATTGCTTAGAAGCGGAATTTGATAGCCTGAATGATGCCTGTCTGGAACATGCGTATGACAAGATCACCACCTTTCTTAACTAGTAAGGATATGAAATTTCATCAATTGGAAATTCATTTATTTGATGTCACAGATTTTATTAGGGCCCCGCACTGGAAGTGCTTGTATCCTATAGTAATCACTGTGTCTTTCCGTCTATCTGTCCGTAAACATTTTTGTAGTCACTTAATGACTTGAGAACCCTTTAGTCTTCCTTCTTCAAAGTTCATACAAAGGTAACAGGTAAATGTCCCCTTGTAATATTTAGGTCAGTATGTCAAAGATCAAGGTCATGGTGATCTTTAATGACATTCGGCTTTGATGGCATCGCAAACTTCAGTAACATGTATTATAAG